GATCCACAATACCAAAGGTCGCAGACAGAGTCTATCGGGGTTGATTATCCATCACATTTTGTTTAAAGCAGTATGTAGGAAGACGAAGGAAGCATAGCAGGAAGTGAAAAATAGTGGCAGGAGTTAGAAAAGGTGCATAAAATAACAAGGCGCCATGAGAGGCTTCACTAAGTTGGCTGTGTTTTAAACATCTTTGTTTTGTCCTTAAATTTTCTTACTGACAGTCGGCTGACTGGTTGCATCTGGAGTGAAATATCTGTTGTTTGTCACAGCTAACTGCATAAATGTCCGCTTCCCACTTTAGTTTAAGTAATGAGGGAAATCTTTAGGCTGTGCAGATGTATAAGCACACGCCTTTTAGAAGAAGAAGAAGAAGAAGAAGAAGAAGAAGAAGAAGAAGAAACAATCACTGGAACAAGAAGTTTATTATCCTGACGTTTCGGATTCCGTCAGGTGATCGCTTCTTTTTGTTTTGAACTGCTTCCTGGAACTCGTATATTCAGTTCTATTGGCACACGCCTTTTGTTATTGTGTATATTGAAGAGGCCATGCTCGTGATTTTTAGACTTCCGTTTAAGTAATATGAAAATGCCTTTATGGTTCAACGTTATTCACGCGCTTGGTGCAAGAAGATGGTCAAAAAGCTTTATGTGGATTCTCTTTATCCACATTTATGTAGGCAGACTTTGGAGATGTTTTCTATCTGAACCTTTTCCAACCATCATTTTTCACCTAAACACTTCCAAATATTTCGTTTTTCTAATACTTTTAAGTTAAGATGAAGATATACTGCTTTATCAGCTCTATAGAGGGTCAATTTTGACGAAAATCAGTGAGGAGTTTAGAAAAAAGAGGGCAGCTGTTATTGATTACGAAGTGGGATGGAGAGAGATCAAGTGAAGGAGTGATCAGTGGAGTCCACAACCTATCTTAAATAAGCATTACGTTTCCGACTGCTGCACGTGAAAATGGTCACCTGCGAGAGATTATAAAGCCTGCCAAGACCTATTTTCTCCCCTTTTAAGTATGCGAGAATAAGTAGGTCGCTAGTCTTGGTGAATTCATGACTGGTTTGTGTAAAATGCTCTTTAACAGAAGTAAAATATTCATTCCTATGAAGAAAAAATATCCTGTTAGGTATTAACTTAAGAAATATACTCGAACATGAAGCGTGTTCAATAACTGAGACAGTTAATTCGAATTTACTGGAAATCCTCAAATGGTCCATCTCGGATTGGAACATATATCTGACTGTTGTTAAGCAGCTGTTGATTATTGAAAATAAAAACTCATTTAGAGACATATGCTCTCTCCAATATTCCTTTACTAACAGTTAAGTCGTTGCCTTGATGCCCTGCGTAAGACTACAAGCACTTGAAAGTAAACTAACTGAAGTCCGCCAAGCCAATTTCTGAAGCGGAAAACTCTTCTTTAAAATCGAACTTGTAAAACATTAAAATTAATCTCATTGTCAATACAGCTGAGGATTACAAGAAGCAGATGTGATCGCTGTTACAAGAACTTTACTCATCTGACGTTTCAGATTCCGTCGTGGATCCACCCCACAAGAAGTGGCAGTTGATGATGAATTTGCATCTTACAACTTACTGGGCGTCTAGCTCGATAGTTTACGAATAGTATCTGAAGCCTTACGGTCTTTAGATATGAGTAACTGCTGGTTATTCCAGTAGGCATAATTGCTTCCCCTCCCTATATGAATGAGCTTCTCATAGGCATAAATTTATCAGGATTACCCTGCCGGACTCAAAACCGAAGAATCCGGGCCGGCATCTGTCGCAGCGCAGACCAGTAACCCCGGACTTGCATGTGCACTGTCCTGTCTCCTGGTCGCAGGCGCCTATCAGCTCGGTACCAGAAACCGCCAGAGTACCCCGAGGGTCGCAGTGGCAGGGTTGGCAACCCCTCGCGTAGGCGGTCTCTCCGGGTGTGACAGAGAATTCCGGATCGGTCAGGTTGGTGGCCTTGATGTTCCGACGGTAGCCTGCCAGGCATCGTTCACAGTGCGGTCCGCTTGTGCCAAACAGGCACTTTTTGCATTCTCCGGTAACACTGTTTCAACAGAAGAGATGCTCAGTTAATCGCAGGACAAGAATTTGTAATGAGCGAGGAAGGGAAATAAAAAAGACAAAGGATACTTAGATGGTCACTGAGGCCCTCGAAGGCTTTCTGCTTTATTTATTAAATTAGAAAGTACTTAAGGATCCTTCTTCTCATACAGCAATACATGCTTATTTCCTTCTGTTAAAAATGGACTATTATTTGATAAAAATGACATCTTTCTGATACCAAAAACTACCTCAATCACAGAACCATTCCTGTGCGTCTTTTGTCGGAGCAAAAGGATACAATGTTTAACATACTTTTGTGCAAGAGGTTTTTCAAACAGGTGAATTCTGACGTTAGTTTTGGGAGAGCCTTCACGCTCTAAGGGTAAAAATTATGTGTATGGGCCCCTTAACAGGATAAGGGATTACTAAGATCCCACCTAACTAAAACAAATGTGGTCTTGGGCATAATTCCAGGAAGGGAACATGTTCTCCTGCCCTAAAATAAACCCAACCGTAGCCTTACTATTGAGCTTAACCCCTAACCATACAATTAACACTAACGCTAATTTTTACCATGAACATAATGCCTAAACACAAATTTCAACCTTAAATCTTACCCTTAGCTTAACCGTATTCCTAAACATAAACCTAATCTACTTTTTAATTAAAGATGGCGCAAAACACCCGTATTGCTGGCGGTTCCTGCCCTTATATCCAGTCACGGGAGCCATACAAGCCCTGCACTTAAAAATATAGTTGTGATGGCAAATATATTCCCTCATAGATTATGTCGTATGGTCCCCGATAATAACGAAATGGGGCAAGTCTTTATACCATGCTGCCGACGCAGAACTAAAGTAACAGACAGTAGGCGTTGAATCTATATTTGGCGTCGTGTTTTACATTAAAGGGCTTTTGGAAAATGTGGAACCATTGGTAAATAATAAGAGAACTATCGCGCAGTCAAAGAAAGACAAATGAAGACAAAGGTAGGCACTTTTTGTTTGATTCCACAATGATACTAACTCACTCCCAATGTGTTTATTTATTCCTTATGTCAAGGTCATCCAACAAGATGGTGGACAGGGGTGCACTTTACACTGTACTACGAAATCGAGAGATTTATTGGCTCCTCACGTTTAATGGACTTCAGTCAACAGAGGGATCGGTAAAAGCTAAGTTGGTCGCCCAAGTAAGATACTCCTAGCCGCAGAATTTTGTCTTACGAGACCAGTAGTATTAGTTTAGTTCAGATTTTAGTTTATTATTTAGCTTTAATTTAGTTTACTTAGTTTTGCTCAGTATAACTAAGTTTAGGTTAGCATATAGTAGTTATTTAATTTAATTTATTTAACGTTGGCGGTATCTAACTAATCTGAAAAGTAAACAGAAGTAAATCTAAATTTAAACTTAAAAACTAAATAATAAACTAAAAACTAAGCGGAAACCAATACAACTAAATGTGACTACAGGAATAGCGGCTTGGGGTATCTAATATGGGCGACCAGCTTAAATGTTACCAAAGGATCAACTTTCAAAGAGCTATATTGCGTATGGGGACGCAACCTGAACCACCAGCATGGACATACGGCTGTATAGCTCCAGATAAAATGCCAAAAGATGCAGAAAATTCATGAGGATAAAGTTTATGTTGGCCACGTGTACGGTTCCGACTACTACTATCAATTGGTAAAGCGTAGTCAAGTTGCCAGCAAGCAATTCTTGATTATAAGTGTTCTCTAGGTTATAACTGTTAGAAATATTTATGGATTGCTATAAATTTGTTACTACTGTAGTGTATTGTCATGTATTACTATAAATGTTCGCTAGGTTACAGCTATTTTAAATGCAGAGGAATCAACAGAGAAGGGGGACCGGAATGGCCAGGTCGTACCCAATCCTAGGTTTGGATCACTCGATTTTCGAATCCACGACCCTTTGGCTATGTAGTGTAACACTCTGGCGTTAAGCTACGGAAAGCTCAAGCGTGCGTACTTTACGTCTGCAACTGTTTGTGCTTATACACGTGAATAAACTGATCTGAGTGCTAATTAGTTTTGTATAGAGGACTCACTGATCGCAATTGCCCACGGCGCGGAGGTCAGTGTTGCCCGAACACTCACATGGACGACAAGGAATGCCTGCGACTGGATTTCCATAGAAGTTTTCTCCACATCGCTCGCATCGAATGCCTAAAGTCAAAAGTAATCCAAGGGTTGCAGTCGGGGTTTAGAAAATAAACGACAATTTGAACTTAGGGGGATGAAAGCATGCGAAATAATTTAACAACTCCTTAATTGAGGAAATGTTATAGACTTCTCAGAAATCCGATCCATCCCACCAAATGATGATATGAATGATTTGATAGACACTATCGTTCAACATAACCGCCCTTACCGGAACACTATCCTCCCAAGTATACTTGTTACAAATCAGTTTGCTGAAAATATGTGTTTAGTTGGAGTATTTTAGGACCGCGATTGTTTATATCATTCATTTGGCCCAGGGCTACCAAAACTCCCTAATGATTTTTTAAATCATTTGAATATGTTTCATTTTTCTCCCAAGTAATTTTTGTCAGGTTCCAGAAATATACCACGGTGCACGTACATGTTTTATAATAACGAACTTAGGAACAAGAGCTAATTACACCGATAATCAACAACCAGTTCAGTTGAACAAGTGCGGAAAGTATGAGAACCAAATCCTCAATCTTCCGTTCCAAAGCTTCCGTTAGAAACCGGGACGTAAGTCTCGTCATCCCAAGTCCTTGAGGCGTCTTGCGTATAACCAGAAGTGAAGAGGGGGGAGGGTTCGATTTCGACCGGCTAAATCGACAAGTGTCTGGGAAAATCATCTATATTCGTGGTAATAGTCTGTCGTTTAAACGTTGGCCCGCAATTTCCCTCTTCCAACCCCACTTTTTATTAACTGGATATGCTATGAAGGCGTAGCTTGTGACCTTAATGCTTGTTGTGACAGCTTCCCACTTCTGGTTAATTTTTTCGACCTACAAAAATACGTGCAGCAGTTGAAGGCATTGGACACCTCTATGGGCCGAATAAACTCGAAATTTCTATCCTGACGCGATATTTAAAAAAAGGTTAAACCACTTAGAGGACCACGAACAACTAGGTTCGCGCAAAACAACGTCATAAAACCGCAAACTAGTTAAAACCTTTGAATAATTTATTTACGCTTGATAAGCACTTATAGTTCGGCCCAATACGGCCTCGTCACAGTCTCCTGTCGAGGACTTCCTGAAACGAATTCTCCTAAGAATAATAAATCCGCAGGATTTATTTCCATAGCTGTGACTTATTCTTTAGAGGACAGAAAGGTGGCAGTCAGGTATGCGAAGTGCACTACGCTCTCACTGTCTGTACGCATCTGCTGCGGTTTTCCATGTTAGCGCATCAAAAATGTACTCGCACGAGGATGACAGGTCCATGTCAAAATGAATACAGAAAGCACATTTGTATTCTGAGGAGTATCAACGTCTTGGGGAGGAGGAGGGCAAATTAAGTCTGTAGAGAGCTCCCAAATGCGTCGCGAAATTGTTCAGCGCTGTGAAACATCTCCACATACTAACTAACAGGTTGAACAGTTTTTCTGAGTACTAACATCATCAAAATCGCCTTTGGACACAATCGCCAGCTGCGGCTGATAGGATGACAACCGAGAGCAATGCTAATTCACCGGCCGCTGTTCAAATCTTTTTTTTTCGGTACCACCTACCATCCAGTCTGTGCTGTTGTGCGCATCAGTCTCAGTACACTTACCACCCAGATTAACTAAATGGAGCAGATTCTGGAGACAGGTGGGTCTTCACTACCCGAGGATTCTTTCGCAAACAAACGCGTTAAAGCAAGTGTGAGCAGATTGATTGGACTGCGCATGCACGACAAGCTCTGGGCAGCTGAATGCAGTGTCAACTTTGATGAGTAGTATGAGGTTTAGGGACTTAAAGATTTGTCCATCACCGGATCAATTGATTAACTGTCCTGAGCTTTCAAACTCTTACATGAGTCCATCTTCAGAGATGAGAAGAAGCAACCAAAAAGAGGGAAATCATAGTGGTCATAGGCCAGAAATCACCAGGTTATCAAGAGATTAGAAACAGCAATCAAAAAGGATTAAAGAGGAGGAGGGAACTTAGCTGTCAGTGGAGTCGGAGGGCAATTATAATGGTGTACGCTAATTAGCTGTCAGTGGAGCCGAAGGTCATGAAAAGCAATTAGTGTTGCTACTTCTCATCTCTAAAGATGGACTCCTCTAAGAGTTCGAAAGTTCAGGACAGTAAATCAATTGATCCAGTACTCCACACGTCTTCTTCCGTATCCATGCAGATACCTGGAACGCGAATCTTTTCATTCATACTTAAAGCTTTGTGAAGAGAGGGGGAGTAGTGAATGAGTAAAGAAATCAGAATTTGAGGTAGAGAGAAAGTAGTCTCATGGATGGCGGATATATTGTCTCCAAGCGTGGACAATGTAATAGGCTCTAGCGTATGGGCTGTGACATTGATAGCCGTAACCCGCCTCCCCGTCCCTGTGAATCCGCATGGCTCACCGTTCTATACATGTTTCATAACAATCGCAACAATACCCACTAAAACCGAATTGTATCATATGATGCTGTATGGCTGTTCTTATCGAAGTTCCTCTGCGTCTTCCATGGTCTTAAACACTACAGGGCAGCTGATAGATTGAGCTTATTTTTTAGGACATATTACCGTAAGACAGAGAATCCAAAATGGCCATTTCTGCCTCATTAGGCGTCGCCAGCTGGATATACTCTACTCAAGTGTAGCAGCGGAAATCGCCGCCACTCTCGAGTTTCGAACCCGCGTCTCTCCGGTCAGAGGCAAACGCTCTAACCCTCGAGCCATCGGGCTCGACGTCTTGACCGTTGTTGATCAGGACTATACATTAGTAGATAGGCGTACACTGGTCAGATCTAAAGATTGAGCTTAGTATCCCCGTTGAAAGAAAACCTGTCCACGAAATCCTATTAAGAAGGAACAAGATAGAGGAAAATGTTATAATTTTGACGTTTGAACATTTTTTGTTGCACTAAAATTCATAAATTTACTTTTTGTTAGCGTAATATGCACAATACGCCAAGGATGCCTTGAATGGCAGCCTAAAATGGACACAGGAGTAGGGGAACCCTGTCCACTTGAAGTAGGTAGGTGGCCTTGCGGTAAATTTTAGGAAGGGTAAATGTCCCCGTGCTTTAACTCTAGCACTAACCTTTAACGTATAAGTATACTGCAAGCTTAGTCTTAAACCTAGCCCCACCGTTAACATAAAAATTACAGTTAATTCCTCAACATAATTCTGACCTTAAGCTCATTTCTGATCTTAATCCCAACCCTGGCCCTAACCCTAACTCTTACCTTAATCTTAAGCCTAATTCGCCCAGAATTCGGCGCCAAGTTGCATGTTTAATGGGTGGTTCTTGCCACTCAGTCCTGTCTATACAAGTCATAATATCCCTCATTTTAGTATACACGCATAAT